GGGGGGAAGCCAAGGAAGACACAGGGAGAAGCACGGGGGGACAGTTTGTCCGCAGACAAGTCGCGGACAAACGCCCGAGATCCCCAGACACGGAACGCAGACGCATCGCCGACCTTCCCAGTCCACAGGAGGGCCGGGGAGGTACGGACCTTCCTCGGCCGGGAAACCCCGGGGTAAAGGTTGATCTGATGCGCCGCGTACCTCACCGCAAACGGCCACAGAAAATGGGGGGCAGCCGCATGCATCATGGACGTACGGGCGACGTCCATGACCATGCCAATGCGGCGCTCAGCAATCCCATTTTGCTGTGGAGAGTCCGGAAGCGTAAAGGTCTGGCGGATGCCCTGTGCACGACAGTAGGCTCGCAGAAGGCCAGAGGAAAACTCTCCGCCTCGGTCAAAGTGCAGACGCAGAACAGGAAAGTCCGAGCCAAAGCTCCTCCTGAGCTGGAGACGAGCAGCGCGGATCCAGTCGATCAACACCTCAGTGACATCACCCTTGCTGCGCAAGGGGAAGACTGTGGTGAAACGCGAGTAGTCGTCAACCACCAGCAGAAAGTAGCGCTCGTGACCCTGTCCACGGACGCGGGCCGGGCCCCACACGTCCATGTGGAGCGTCTGCAGAGGAGCCTCTGTCGGAGGAAACTGGGAGGAGTGGGGGGTAGCCCGGAGGCGCCCCTCGACACAAGGGACACAGGAAGGTCCTGGCCCAGAAGGAAGGGGAGGGAGAGACCGGGGAAGACCAGAGACAAGGACACGGAAAGCCATGTACCTGAGACGGGGCAAGGAGGGGTGGCCAAGACGGTGGTGCCACAGGAGAGTCTCGTGAGACAGGAGGCGACACGAGCAGGGGGCAGACTCAGGACCAGACCTGGACGCAGCAGCAAACATCTGACCCGACGCAGCTACCTGGCCAGACACAGGGACAGGAGGAGACTCAGTGGTCAGGTTGTAGAGGCTCGACCCCGGCTGACGGGAGAACGTGGCCAGGTGCCGACCTGTGCACGCGTCCGTGCAGTGGGTCACCCGCTGACTCGCAGGAGTAAACTGGTGAACCCCAGCATCCTGTAGGGCAGCACCACTCACCAAGTTCGTCGAGAACGAGGGGAGGTACAGGCCTGACAGGGCGCCCGAGGGGGCAGCTGGACACGGTAGAACAGTGGAGAAGTGAGAGAGGACAGGACCCCCAGAGGGGTCAGCCAGGGAGACCGCAACCGGCCGGCCAAGCGGCGTGAGTGTGGTGCAGTCCCGAAAGAAGGAGCGAGAAGCCCCAGAGTCAAGTGTAAAGGTGAGGGAGGCCGAAGCCGACGCGGTACCTGAGAGCGCAGCCTCACCAGTACTTGAGAGCGCAGCCTCACTAGTACCTGAGAGCGCAGCCTCACTAGTACCTGAGAGCGCAGCAGTGTCACAGGCACCTAGCGCAGCCGTACCAATGCCCGGGCCGGGCGGGAAACACCGGTAACAGTCACCCTCATCACTAATAGACACAGCATACATGGCAGCAAGGATAGCATCAAAGTCTAGCTCAAGGATCGCTACACCGGCTCTAGAAAGGTCTCCCCAGCGGGGGATCTCAGAGGCGTCAGGGAACTGCTGACGCCAAGCGTCCGTCAGGCGGCCAAAGCAGCGCCGGGTGGCGTGGGCACCCCCACACTGCTCACCCGCGCGGTCGCCACTGCGAAGAACGTAGGTGCACGGGCCAAAACCTCCACCACGCTGACTCTGCGCGTACCACTCACGGAGCTGCTGAGGCGGGGGGATGTCCCGAGCACGCTGCTGCTGCTGCTGCTGCTGCTGCCGCGGACCACCACCAGAGCCGCTCCGCTGCGGGGCACCACCCCGAACGGCTCCACCTCCCCCGCTACCACCGCCTCCACCTCCGCCACCACCACCGCCTCCGCTCCCACCGCCTCCGCCGCCACCGCCTCCGCCGCGGCTGCCGCCGCCACCGCCACCACTCCCGCCACCACTCCCACCGCCACCCCCACTCCCTCCGCCGCCTCCACCGCCACCCCCACCGCCCCCGCCAGCTCCACCCGCGCCCTTGCCCCCCTTGCCCTTGCCAGGGCGGCGTCTCCCGCTAGGGGCAGACGCCGCGCCAACCGACTCAAGACCAAGCAGGTCGGCAGCAGCAGCAGAGGCAACAGAGGGCAGCAGGGGGGAAGGAGAACACCCCTCAAAGATGGGGGTGCGCGGGTCTCCACGAGAGGCTCCTACAGCGACTATACTCTTCTCCGCCGCTAGGAGGGCCTTCTCGAGGAGATCGACAGTGAGGGTGGTGGGACAGACTGAGAGGAAGTGGTCCCTGACTACGCAAAGGGAGTCAGGGAGATGAGTGACTATGTAAGAGAGAGCGATGTACATGGGGGGGGGGTTCTTGGCGCAGAACTCAGCAGGAAGGGCGACGCGGTAGCGAGTGTCACTAGTGCGAAGGTGCGTAATGAGATCAGCGACAGAAGGAAAGGCAGTGAGATCGGGAAAGAGGTACGGTAGCATGAGACGGCTCAGTGCAGCAGTGGCAGGGGAAGAGTAGCGCGCAACTACAGCGTCGTACAAGGTCTGAGCACTCTTGTACTGACTAAAGTGCGCGCGCTCAGTGGTGGGCAAGTGGCGACGCACAGCAAGACGTGCAGCAACATCGCGGGTGGCCCACTGAGAGCGAACAGTGGGGTCAGCATCAGCAGCAGGAGCAGGAGAGGCGCCAGAGGTGAGGTCAAAGAGAGAAAGACCGTCCGCCCTATCGCACTGTAAAAACAACTGCAGGTCGTCGACCCAGACCTCAAAGTCAATGGCTCTGCCCTTAGCGTCAAAAACTAGGACACTGGGGGTAGCCATGACGACAGACTAGCAGTGCAAGCAGTGGGGAAGGGGACACAGTAGCAGTAGGGCAGTGCTATGCTCACCAGACACGGCAGGTCGGGCGGCCCGGTAGCAGGGCGACTCGACGGCTGCAGGGCGGCTCGGCTGCTGCGGGGCGGCTCGGCTGCTCCTCGGCGGCTCGGCTGCTCCTGGGCGGCTCGGCTGCTCCTGGGCGGCTCGGCGGCTCCGGGCGGCTCGGCTGCTGCTGGGCTGCTCGGCGGCTCTGGGCGGCTCGGCTGCTGCTGGGCGGCTCGGCTGCTGCTGGGCGGCTCGGGTGATGCTGGGCGGCTCGGCTGCTGCGGGGCGGCTCGGCTGCTGCTGGGCGGCTCGGCCGGTGCTGGGGCCGCGTAGGTAGGGCGGCTGGGCCGCGAAGTTAGGGCGGCGGGTGGGCCGCAGGTAGGGCGGCGGGTGGGCCGCAGGTAGGGCGGCGGGACGGCCGCAGGTAGGGCGGCTGGTGGGCCGCAGGTAGGGCGGCGGGCGGGCCGGAGGTAGGGCGGCGTAGAGCCGCAGGTAGGGCGGCTCGCGGCCGCATGACGGGCGGCGGGTGGGCCGCGAAGGTAGGGCGGCGGGTGGGCCGCGAAGGTAGGGCGGCGGGTGGCCGCAAGTAGGGCGGCGGTAGGGCCGCAGGTAGGGCGGCTGGTGGGCTACAGGTAGAGCGGCGAAGGGCCGCAGGTAGGGCGGCGAAGGGCCGCAGGTAGGGCGGCTCACGGGCCGCAGGTAGGGCGGCTCACGGGCCGCAGGTAGGGCGGCGGGTGGGCCGCGACGGAGTGGCGGGGCCGCTCAAAGGGGTAGCGGGGCCGCGAGAAAGGGCGGCGGGGCCGCTAGCAAGGGCGGCGGGGCCGCGACAAGGTGGCGGCGAGGCCGCGACTGAAGGGCGGCGAGGCCGCGAGAAGGGCGGCGGGGCCGCGAGGGGAAGGGCGACACGGAGGGTCGCTAAAAAAAAAATCGCGCGCCTCGGGGCGTGCTTCGGTGGGCCCTAGAAGCAGTCCCTAGGAGGGAACCTGCTCTGATTCCATGTGGAAAGAAAGAACACGAAAAATGAATGAACTATGAAATGTGTGAGTACAAGTACCAACCCTAATTGGGTTGTACCCCCTATGGGATACCCCACTATAGCCTAAACAAAAGCATAAGCTATAAGTTCTGACAGAACAAGCATACATGATCAATAACAGTCGTAACTGTGCATGAGGGGAGACCCCACGGTCGCCCCAGGTGTGGCCTCTAAGGAGGTCGGTGAGTCATCCTCGGTGCAATCCAGACATTTGCAAAAGCGTTCGTCCACGTCCACGACTTGCGATTTTTGTCCCTAATCCGAAACAGCAGCTTGTCTTCTTGTTCCATTGTGCGACGAAAATTCTCCTCCTGGCGTGTACCCTGACACTTCCTCCACCTCGTTTCCCTCGTCCGCGTGTACAGCCTTGCATGGAGCCGAAAGGCCGTTTCGACCCTCCGGAGCACCTTCCTTGCACGAAACCGTTGCCCTCGGAAAACAGCATCACACCGCTCCAGCCACAGCTGATGAAGCGTGATTGACGTAATCGTGGCTTCTAGAAAAGCTGAGCTGGACCCTGCCTTCCGAAACAGCAGGTCCCCAAGAGACGACACCTCGCGTGGGGCGTTCATGAGGCGGAGAGTTTTCAGGAGCGCCAAGAGCGTCGGTAAATCCTGACGGTTGGAACTGTCGATCCGAGGGATGGAGTTTACCGATATCCAGCGACATCCAACGACGTTTCACTTCGGACACGCCGTTACGGTGTGTTTCGGTGGGCGCAAGACATCTACACCTAGGCGAGTCAAAAATTGCAGCCTTTCCCATCAAAATGCGCCCTCGTGATTTGACCCCAAACCTGGGGACCGCCACCCGTGCCGTCCGCGTTTTAAGTTATCTGCTGCAGGTCAGTTGAAGACATTTAAGTGACACTAGTACGTCTTCAGTGCACAGTTGTTCCCACAGTGCGGTGCTGCAAGGCCTACGGTGCACGCAAACTTCCTCACTACAAATCACGCCCTTACAACGAATGTTGCTTTGGGAGAAAACCACACGGATGTTTTCTCCCCCAGCAGATCAGATTTCTTCAAGGGACTCTTGTTAGAGCAGCCAGAAAAACCTCGCAGAGCTACACTTGTTGTTACTTTTCAATGGCTGCTCCTCAGGCGCGACTGCTGTTGTTACACTTCCTTTTTCTCTCAGCTTTTCTCACCTTTTTCAACGGGCCATCTCAAGCGGATTTATTAAAAGCCGACAGAGATCCCCTCCATTCCGTTCCAGCAGCCGTTGATACTGACACCCCTCGCCCATCTGATGGCGTTGCGACTAGCACCGCCTCCGCCCCACCACCTGCTCCCTCCGCCCGCGCTGCCGCTCCATCCGCTAAGCCTAGCTCGGCGTGGGAGCGCGCGGTAGCAGCGCTGAAGCCCGCGATGTACGGCGCGGTGGCCGCCATGTCCGTCGGCGCGGAGAGCGATGTGCCCACTGATGCGCTCCGCCCGCTGCTGGCGCCCGACGTGGTCGTCACGGCCAAGGTCCGCCTGCTCAACGCGGCGAATCTTACCTCCTCCGGGATAGCTTGGCAAGGGCTGACCTGTCCTTCGGACGGAACGCTGAAGCCGCCCTCTCCGACCGCCGCGCTGCTTTACCTGCGGTTCGAGCAGCGTGCCGATTCGCAGAACTCGGCGACGCCTCTGACGTCGCGCACGTGGCCTTTCGCCGACTCGGCGCAGCCATCGCCCGTCTACGCCGCTCCGCTCGCGTTCCTCTCGCCCATCGTCTCCTTCCGCCTCTACCCCGGCACTCCCGTGGGACCAGCGGCGCAGCAGAAAGAACTCAGCCTGGTGGGGCTGGGAGGGAGCGTACTGGGAGCTGGTTATATGCAAGTATCTTTCAACGTCTCAAGAGCTCTTCTTGCTCAGCCACGTGCTTGCACTCTGATAAACATCGAGGGGGGTATAGACCAGCAGACAATGTCTCTATCGAGCGCAGCCGACATTGCAGGGTGCATCAGGCTGAGCACGTTCAACAGCAGCTACTTCTTCGTCCTCACGGAACCGGTGGACATTCAAGACCAGGTAAAGTTTCCGCCACCCCCTCCGCCATCCCCTCCGCCTCCGCCCAGCCCCCCTTCTCCGCCTCCGCCTCCCCTTGCTCCTCCTCCCCCGGCCCCTCCCGCTCCGCCTCCCCCTCCGGCAGCTGGAGGCAGCAACACGGCCCTGATAATGGGGATTGGCATTGGCGTGGGCCTTGCGGTGCTCCTCTTGGCTGGCATTGTGGCGGCGCTCGTCTATATCTGGACGGTCAGGCGGAAAAAGAATGCGCAATCACAGCCTGAGGGGAAGGTGGGCCGGGCACAGCTGCTGGCTGTGATGGCATCAGTTAAAGGCAGTTCAAGAGGTTCTCAACGTTCAAATGCATCTAGTTCAGTCAATTAATGCCTGTCAGGTGCGCTAGTAGCTGTAATGGTGGTAGTACCGTATGGCCCCGGATAGAAGCGCAGGCCTATTAAAAGTGCATGCGCTTCTATCTGGAGCAATGCGCTTATGGCCGATCCTCAATTATAAGCGCACACCTTGTAAAACCCTGACTTATTATAAGAGCATGTATAATATAAAAATTTGAACTTGCTTGAAACGGTAACTAAATTTGAATTTGGCAGCGAGGTCACACCAATTTAGGTTCGATTGACTCGCGAGGACCTTACACCCTGCGCGTCCAGTCAGTATGAGCTGGAATTCCTGCGCAATGACGTGTAACTGCCTCTGTGCGCCGGCAGAAAATCGCCCGCTTACGATTCTGAATTGTGACCCCCTATCATTGCGTTTCGATTGAAAATTCAAGAAGAATATGTACAATTTGGTGCAGTAAGAATATAAATTTGTATTTTTCATATTATAAGCGCATGCGCTTATATATTTTACTCAATTATAAGCGCACCCCCCTAAAAAACACTGCTTTATTACAAGCGCAGGTGCGCTTATATCCGGGGTAATACGGGTATAGGGGGTGCAATATGCTGGTATGACTGAATGCCTATTTATGACTTCTCTCTATAGGTTAAGCTACTTTGCTTTACCAATTGCCTCCATATATTAACATCGATACATTCATTGACGGTTGTTTCGAGCTAGAGGGGGCACTGGCCCTGAAGTGGATGTCCAGGCGAATTGCCAAGCGACATTCACGGATCTGCCCGCAATGAATCTGGTCGCATCTCAAGGAACAATCAATGTGCAATCCCCCTAACCAACCAACCAGTGGCAAAGTCGGGGTGGAACTGAGAAGGCTCCTGTCGTGGCAGCGCCTCCTGCTTCCCTCCCTCCTCCGTCCTCCTGTCTGCCCTCGCTCACCCTCTGTCCCTGTCACCGTTACAGTCCCGTCGATCCCACTTGTGCAGTCAGACGCACCACCTAGTCCCACAAGACATGGTAGTGACTAGCTTCTAAGGGTGCGTCAGATCCGCTACAATGTGATTTGGCTGCAAATTTGTCGCCCTTTTTGGTCGACTCCTTTTTTCGCCAAAGTCGATCGAATGGTCTAATGCTAAACCGGCCACCATCCAGCCACATTTACAAGGTGTTGAAATCTGACAGATTTGGTGGCCGATTTACAGGCCGGTTTGCAGAAGCGTCAGATTTGCAGGTCGCACAGTTGGCCGGATTGTGCGACGGAGTCGCACGTATTGTTACTGAAGTGACACAACCGCTATTGTGCACACTACGATCAGGGAGTCAAGATGTGAGCTGCAGCCCCATTTACAAACCGATTCGGCGAGATCGTGTCGTCTACCCGAACTGAGTGTGACGAGAGCATACAAAAACCGGAACGTCCCTACACTCTAGCCATTATCCAACATGGTGGATCCTTTCACACCCAGATGGGCACGACGTTTAGCAATCGGACTCACGCACGTTGTGCTCATCCCTTGGTTGCTGCAGTTGGTGTCATGGTGCCCTTGCTCCTTGACTTTGCTGACGAGAGCGATTACCAGGTGTTCCTGTCATGTTCAACGGCGCTGAAAGCGTCGTGCGAGTAGTCCTTGTGACACGTTGAGTCGCTTGGGTATGTTGGCCAAGTCGCATAGGTACTGTAGCGCTGACAGGTCGACAAAGTGGTCGACTCTCAATTCGTTTGCACGTCGGAAAGTTGTCGAATGCTAAACTGGCCATCAAACCGGCCATCAAAATTTTAGCAAGTGGCCGGATTGTGCGAAATTAGCGAAATACCTTACGAATGTCGTGAATGTGTAACCTTCGCTAGATCCGGCCGGCCGGATTGATCCGGCCAACGAATCTGACGCACCCTAATGACGCCCTACACAGCACGGTTAGTTCCTGATTTCTGAACCTACCCTGCGGCTTCTTCCGTCCTGCAGCCGCGCGTCATCCCCCCACAGGACACTATCGCGCATCAGTGGGGTTAGGGCACAAGTTAACACTGCCAATCCATTCCCATGGCGTCATCCGCTGTGGGGTCGGTCGTAGTCTCTTCTTCCTTCACTCACGATGCGGCTCGTCGCCAACCCACAGCCATCGTTCGCGATAGCTCCCCTCAGGCCAGCGCGAAACGAACCGCCAGACACCGCAATGCCGACATCGCTTTCCGCCAATTCCCGCATTTTGCCAGACCCGCCAACACACAGACCCGCAGAGTCAACGGGTTCCGCCTTTCCGCCTACGCGGAAGCCGCGTCGGAAAGCGGAAGACCAGCGGGCGGATCCGCGGGGCAGGCGAGCGGAACACGGGGATCCGCGGGCAGGGGGGACTCGACGAGCGGGGAATTCGTGGACACGCGCATTCATTGGAGCTCCCCGGACGAGGGGTGGGTGGGCGGCAACAGCAGCGGGTTCAGTTCTGAGGAGGAGTTCGAGGCGCGGTCGAGCGACGCGGGGCTGCGCACCGCGATGAGCCGCGATATGCAGCTGCTGATTATGTCGAACTCCAACAACCACTACACGTACGCACCGCGATGTTTCGTTTCGTGAACGTTGGTGAGCGAAACGCGTTTTCTCAACGACTTCAGTATCGGTGACCAGCTGTCGCGCATAGCGATTCTCGAGGGGCGCATTAGTGTTAAATGGTTGTGGCGCACACGGCAAGTCTGCTGGCTGTCAATACACGCCACTGGCGCCAGTCACTCGCGAGCTGTAGCAAACAGAATCAACTGATTTCAGCGGTTAATGGGAGAAATAAAACTTTGATTGTACTTCCGATGACGATTCATAAAGATTTTTTAAGCAATCAGTCTAACCATCCACTCGCCGCCCCAACCACTCCCCGCTTTTCCGCCCCTGGCCAACCCATCCCCCGGCGTGCTGGGCGTGTCACCCCTGGCGGACAGGGACGATGTGAAGGCGGCGTACCGGCGGCTGTCGAAGTGGTTTTAATCAGAACGATCTCAACTGGTCAAAACACCCACTCGTCACCCATCTCCCTCTTCTCTCTCTCCACCTTTCTCCCCACCCCTCTCCACCCCACTTTTCCCCCCCTCCCCTCCTCTCCCTCCTCCCTCTCTCCCTCTCCTTCCCCTCCCCGTTTCCCCCTCCCCAATGGTTTTCCGTCTTTTCTCACCCCATCCCCCAGCGTGCTGGGCGTGTCACCCCTGGCGGACACGGACGACGTGAAGGCGGCGTACCGGCGGCTGTCGAAGCGGTTCCACCCCGACACGACGCGGCTGCCGCTGGCGCTGGCGGAGCAGCAGTTTGTGCGGCTGAACCAGGCGTACGAGGTGCTCTCCAGCTCCGAGGACCGCCGCCTCTACGACTGGAAGCTGTACGGGCACACTGGCGGGAGGGAGGGATGCGGGGGAAGAGGAAGGGAGAGTGGGATGGTGGGAGAGAGGGACGGAGGGAGGGAGGGAGGACAAATGGTTGGTAGGGGGAGATGGAGAATGGAAATGAGGAAGGGAGAATAGGGAGGGACAAGGGAGTGAGTGAGGGAGGGAGTTTGGGGAGAAATGGGAAAGAGTGCTTGTGCATGGTTTATTGGATTGGTCTGTGCAGGAGCCCTAATGCTCTTAACGACATGGGCGTCCCCGAAATCCCACTAGCCCACTTCTTAAGGAATGCTTGTCTCTGTCTACCGTACATTGCAGAGCTCAAGAGGCATCTGATGCGCGTGGCGGGCGGTTTGTGTGGCCGTATGAGGTGGATCGCACTCAGAGAGGAATGGGCTCGCGGGACCCTCCCTCTCCTGTGGGCAGGAGAGGCCCTGGGGAGGATGAGAATGACGTTCCACTTTCAGATGGCTCGATCATGGCGCTTGCATTCGATGCATTTGCTGTGCTGATTGCGGTTGCTTGTATTTGTTATGCAGCCTTTTTCAAGGGGAACTGACAGAACCAATCTTGCTTAGTCACGGTATTTGCTATACGGTATTTACACTTGTAAAGCTTATCACATTTTGTAGAGCAAGAGATCACTGGTGTTTTTAAAGCATCTGGGAACCGCGGAAGAGGGAGATGAGGCTGTACCAGCAGTAAAACTTGCAAATCTCTTCAATATTTCTCATTAAAACGTGTACACATTTACAGACAGTATCCTAACTCCTAATTCAAACCAAAGCAGCACTCAATCAAAGGTGCCTAGCTCCCCATCTCAAACCCGTGTGCGCAGCTCTTTCACGAGCATTACGCAGTCACTCAAAAACGAAGCGTATGTACACAAAACTGTTACTTTCGCGTAAGTTCCGCTCTCGTTTTCTGTAATTCACTTGAGCCGGTACCCAAATGACACACTTACGCACCAAGAGTGATGGCCCTCACGCGCCGCCTTTCAAAAACGCGACCGGCCGCTTCCAGCTTGGCCTCCCGCGCGATCTGCGGAAGCATATCGCCATGAAGCTCCTCCGCAGCAGCTGACCGTTGGATCGCCTCCGTATGCCTGGGCCACGCGCAACGAGGGCCAAGGGGAGTTTCCGCTGGTGTTGGCGCAGAGGTCGCGGGGAACCCGCGGGGCCAGGCGCATCTTGGGCCCTCTGCAAGTGCAAGGGCCGGCGCAGGAGCAGCAGCGGAAACAGCGCGGGGCCAGGCGCACCGCGGCCCTTCCACAGCCTGAGGCGCAGCCGCTTCCGCCTGGACTAGCGCCCGCTCGAGCAGCGCCTGGACGTCGGAATTGGCCACCTGGCGCGGCCACGCGCACCTTGGGCGCTCAACAGGCGCCGTCTCCGCGGAAGCGACAGCGCTGGCTGCGCGAGGCCAGTTGCAGCGGGCGCCTGGGGTAGTAGTAGCTGCCGCAAGTGGCGGGGATGCAGCGCGCGGCCACAGACACCGAGCAGCCTCCGCTGCAGCCGATGATGATTTGTGCGGCCACGCGCAGTGCGCGCCGATGGTTGCGGCGGTGGGGGCGGGGTAGCGGCCGGGAAGTGCGGAGAGAGCTGTCGGTCGGGGCCAGGCGCAGAGGGGACCGGTGGAGGCGGCGGGTGAAGAGCGTGGCCAGGCGCAACGGGCGGCGAGAGCAGGGGATTCGGCGCGAGAGGCGAAAGTAGGATGCGCAGCGGAAGCCTTGCGAGGCCACTCACAGCGCGCGCCAGCCGCAGCGACGGCAACTGCGCGCGGCCACTCGCACCTTGCAAAGGCGGCGGGGGAAGCAGCCTCGGTCACAGCGAGCATGGCCAGAGCAATCGCCGCGGTTTCGACTGGTGCAGGTGTGGAACGCAAAATTGATCCTTGTCGAGGCCAATTGCAACGGGGATAGACAGTCGCTCCGGCTTGCTGTTGCTCATGCCTGGGCAAGATGCACTGCGGGCGAAGCATCGTCTCAAGCTGCTGGATCTCCGCGTAAAGGGCCTCGCGGCGGAGTTCCCGCTCAAACGCGGACAGGTACGCAGCCGGGGATCGCGGAGGCGCCGTGCGCTTACGTGAGTACGACCACGCGAAGTCCAGTTCGTCGAGAACGGGCGACAGGCCCTGCGCGCGAAGGAGCAGCCATTCAATGGCGGCGGGCGTGGAGGCCGGCGGCTGGCGAAGGTTCATCTCGCTGGCGAGGAGAGGAAGTGGGTCGGCGCACGTGCCGTCGCCCCAGGCGATCTGTTCCATTTTGCGATTCTTGTGAAGGCTCTTTTGTGAGCTGACCGTTTGAGTGAACGGCCGCACGGCGCGCAGAATCTGGGGACGATTGTCGCGGTTGTGTTTGGAGAGAGGGCGCCCGCTCAGCTGCGGAGCGCTGAGGTTGGGAGTGCTACTATCTGGAGGCTGCGACCCACCTCGCCTCGCCATGGACGACAATGGCGCATGGCTGATGATGGGCTTTGCTGCGACTATAGACAAGGAAGCCATTGGAAGCGTGTGTTAAACGATCTCTAAGCAAGGCTGGGAAACTGTAACGCTGGAAAACTGGAGCTTTGTCCTGGATGGAAGATAGCAGGTTTCTGTCTGAAAATTCGTGGAGAAGCTCTGAAGATGGGAATGGAGAATAGCGGTCTCAAATGCAAGCGATTATGAAGTGGAGCCAGCAATTCGCGACTCGGTGACACCGTGGAACAACCACTGAACCAACAACAGTGCGTGCTGGTGACGCAACGTGAGTTCAGGTAGACTAAGCAAGCACTGACAACTAAGATTGTGGGAGCGTTCGTAACGTTGGCAAGAGAAGGCGAAGCACAACGAAGCAAAGGAGGCACAATGAATGGATTCCTCCTTCCTTCAAAACTGCCCCCATTTATGACACGACGCAACCACCTCAACTCCACCTCACAGCGGTGCAGTGCGGGATTCAGCGGCGGACGATGAAGATGCGGTGCGAGCTCGACGCGCCGCGGGTAGGCACTGGGCAGGTTCAGGTCTTTCACCAGCGTGGCTGAGGTGGTTGGGAGCCCTGCTGACCTGCAGACCCATCAGCTGCGCCGGAATGATGTGGCAATGGGGTTGGGAACACGTCATGCCACCCAAGGTAGGGACAGTTTGTTGATGCCGAAGAATCTTTCTATTTGCGGCTCGCGTGTCACTGAATCATTCCAGAAGGAGTCCACGACGCGATTAGGTCAGCAAGCAAAGGAGGCCTTCCCTTATCCCTCAAGCGTCGCCGGAGTGCCTTACGTCTGGTTCTCAAACGCAACCTGACCTGGATGGGGCTGTTAATGACGTGGTCATGTCCAAAGGTGAAAATTCTGGATTGGTTGGGCTTATTTGCTCTCCCAGACCAACCAACCACCCAGAAAAGGGGCCAAGAAACCAGGGCCAGAAACGGGGACCTCCCAGTGTAGTGCTGTACCAATAAGCGAATTGGGGAAGCAACATCGGATCGTGTACGTAAGGTCTGACCAAGTTCCTGGCAATTCGGGCTACACCACCAGTACAACGGTTGGCACGTGGCACATGGTGGAAACGGTTTGTTTTGATCGATACGCTGGAATAACCCCAAAAACTAAAACTTAGCACCCTGATCTATACGTTCCGTTTGTCACTTACTCTCCCTTCTCGATTTCGCAACAATGCTCACGGCTTGCGGTTTTTCCCCCAGCGGGTATTCACTAAGAGCTCGAGCTTTAAAAAACAACTTCACACTAACAACTCAGTGGTATTGTTTTTCTTCTTTGAAAATATTTGGAATTGTGGTTAACAAACAAATATCAGCCAGCCAAGCTGACGCGGCGGCATGTGTGGATGATTTGTAATAAGTGCAACTGAGGCCGAAGGTGTCGGCGGCCGCATATTCCCTTTGCATCGCCGTTGTTGGTTTGGTTGCATCCGTGACTATGTACTGTAAATGATGGCTTCCAGGTGATAGGTACGTTACACACCTGAGTAGTTCACCACTAAGCAACATATCCTTACCATGCTCTAATTATCATATACCTATAAGTTAGAGCTTCGTGAGCTTCCAATACATGTTCTATGCAACAGATGGAAGTTCAGACACATATATTTCTGTTGGAAACAACTAACTTCAGCGCCCCTGCCGTGTCGAAACACCAAGTCAGAAGCGAAGCAGAACATATCGAAGCATCGGCGAGTCAACCTTCGGAGGTTCAACAACTCCTAGAGGTTACGCGAAAGTCGAAGGTCAGCGACCTTTGACCTGACAAGTACAGCGCGACAGCAAGGAAAAACAACTGACTCGCTATTGAGCAGTTGCCCGAGTCATCACTGTATCGAACCGCAACAACAAAAAAGTTATGTTGCGTTCAGAAGTTGATCCTGGCCTAGGATCTACTCAGGTAGGTTCGCACACAGAGAAGTGGTGTTGGTGGGCCCTTGACCTCAATAGCAGAGTGAATGTAAATGCTTGAGATGATTAAGACATGCAAATACAACGATATAAATAAGAGTTCAGGGGAATATGAATCGACCTAGCTAGCCATGTACTCTAAGGGATACATTCCCAACTGTGCGGCGCGAACAGTTACGAAACTGTTCCCGCCGAAACCATCCTGCCTGCAGTTGCCTGATGCTGTCTGCTCCGACGGTTCAGATGCGTTCCAACCGTCTGACGTTTCGCGTTCATTCGCGATACTGCGTGATTCTCTTTGCTGCGGCCAGGAGTGCACAGTAATATTAAAGTATTACTATTCGTAACACCCCCCTTCACTCCTGGCCGCAGCTCGACTTGACCTGCTTGACCACGCCGCTGAGCTTGGAGCAGTGCTGATACTGCTGGCGTGGCAGTCGCTTCGTGAGGAAGTCTGCTGCCATGTCACCGGTCATACAGTAGGTCAAGTTGACCTTGCCCTTGTCCACTCCATCCTTCACGAAGAAGTACCGCAGCGCAATGTGCTTGGTGCGGTTGATGAAACCAGGTTTGTTCGCGATGCGAATCGCGCTCTGGTTGTCGCAGTGGAGGCGAAAGTTCGTTGAGGCCGGAATTTTTGCTTCGTGCAGCAGTTCCTGAAGGTAGAGACCTTCGCGAACAACTGCTGTTGCTGCGATGAATTCAGCTTCCACCGATGGCAGGGCAATCAGCTCCTGCTTCTGACATTTCCAGGAGATGGGGCCGCTGGGCTCGAGGCGGAAGAGGAACCCTGTTCTTGACCGTCAATTGTCAGGGTCAGCGGCGTGATCGGCATCGACGTAGCCGACGAGGCTCAATGATGTGGTTGGGATGGTGGAATAACTGAGCCCGACATTGGGCGTGGAGATGAAGAATTGAAGGGCTCGCTGAAGATCTGAGAGATTCTCAGCCGTTGGTTTGCGTGAGTACTGAGCCAACTAGCTCGCAATGTAGGAGAGGTCGGGCCTGCGGATATGGATGCGAAGAGCAGGCATCCCAACTGCTGCTGGTAAGTGTGAAACCCAGAAGGGGACAGGGCTTTGCTGTCAGGCTTGTGGTTGGGTCCTGGAGTGTGGTAAGGGGTGGAGAGTGGTGCAGGCACAATGTTGAAGCGCTTGCTAAGCTCCTCCGTATACTTCGCTGCTAAGAGATGAATGGCTTCCGGCGAGAAGGTGATGTTGAGTCCGAGAAACTACTTCACGTCATGATTGCAGGTGATGTCGACGCGCCCTGCGAGGCTTCTCTCAAACTGCTCGAGCAGTTCGTTGCTTGAGCCTGTGTAGAGAAAGACATCGACATAGATTGTGAGGAGGATGTATTCGCCGCGGAAATCGCGGCAATACATTCCAGGATCGCGAGGCAGCTGCTTGAACCCGATTTCAAGCATTTTGTTGTGCAGATACTGCTGCCAGAGTCTCGGTGCCTATTTGATCCCATAGAGGGACTTGCGTAGCTGACATACACGTGGGTCTCCGTCGCTGTAAGTGTGTAGCTGTTCTACGTAGATCACATCGTCCACTAATGCGTACAGGAACGCATTATTCACATCGATCTGCCGGAGTGGTAGGTGTCGTGCGGCTGAGATGGTGAGGAGAATTCTGACGGACGTGTGATGGCTGACCGGTGCAAATGTCTGGTCAAACTCCATCCCGTGCCTTTAAACGTAGCCGCGTACCACCCAGCGTGTCTTGAATCGCTCAATCCTTCCGTCGGCTCCTGTCTTCACTCGGAAGACCCATTTGCCGGAGAGAATCCTTCTCCCCTTTACTACTGCACGGTCGACGAGCACCCAGGTGTCGCGTGACTCGAGTGCCCGGATTTCCGCATCCATTGCTTCGCGCCACTCCTTGCTGTGTGGTCCAGAAAGAGCTTCGCGCGGATTTTGGGGCTCGACGACACGTGGCGGCTTCGAAGTTGCGGTGTGAAGCCCGAGCAGCTGCACTCATGAGATGGTGCTGTCGTGGCGACATTGCGAGATGACTTCCTGTACGTCGTCGTCATCGCTTTCTGGTTCAGGAGGCACTGATGGTGCTGTGCCTCTGCCGCCTCCGCCTGTTCCGCTTCCGCCTGCTGCGCCCATTTCTCCTCCCGAGGAATCGTCGTCGCCGTCGTTGTCGCTACGTCATTCTTCCCACACGAGCTTGCCCCTCGTGTCCTGCTCCAAGATTGCTGCAGCGGCTTCGTCTTCGGGCGTTGCGTAGCTGTGCCCATCGTTAGCGTAGACGCGGTTCGCGTTCGTTCTTTCGTCGCGGCGGAACTGGTCGAGGAAGAGGCGCTCGTAGGAGATGACGTCGCGAGCGTGAGCGATTTTCTGGCTGAGGAGGTCCAGCATGATCCACGCCTTGTACTCATGACTGATGCCGAGGTGGATCCCCCAGCGAGCGCGGCTGGCGAATTTGCCGATGGTTGAGGTCGGCGGGCGGTATTGAACCATGCACCCCCATACGCGCAGCATGGAGGTATCCCCTTTGGTCCCAGGCCATTTGACGTGCGGGGACAGATTGCCGGTGATGGTGGTGGTCGAGAGTAGGTTTTGCACCCGTACTGCGTGGTGCATCGCGTAGGTCCAGTAGATCGGCGACAATTTCGATTGCTTCATCAGCGCGCGCGCCTTCGTCATTAGCGTGCGGTTCGTCAGCTCAGCTACGCCCTGCTGCTAGTGCGCGTAGGGGAGAGAAATATGGTGCTCGATCCCTTTTTGCGTGAGGTAGGTTTGCATCTGGTTGCTCCTGAATTCTGCCGCGCCGTCAGATTGCCAGATTTTCAACTTCTTCCCAGATTGTCGCTCTGCGTGCGCCAACCAGAGGCGAAACACCTCGTAGGCTCGCGTGACTCCACGTTCACGACCCACACGTAGCGCGTTCCAGCGTCGATGAAGGTGAGCGTGTACATTTCGTCCTCGGTTCCGCAGTGCCCCAGGTTTAGGAAATCGCTGTACGCCTTGTGTAGCTTGGGGTAGCTGTTCGTTCCAGGTTCGAGCAGCGGGAACGGTTGGTGGCTCAGCGCAGCCTCGGGGCAGACGGTGCAGTTGTGCGGATGTGTCGTGCCTCTGACTTCAGAGCCATCAGGG